TAAGATTTCCATGGCAGCCAGCCCAGCCAGCATTTTCATATGAATGTCATTAGTGCCAGCTTACATATTTCCATCAGTTCAAGTTTCCTTTTCCAGTGGATTTATCTCCCTTATTTTTGATGTATAAAATGAATGGCTACCCATCTGTGAGTCATCGATATAAAACTTAAATATGTACCTCTGTTAATGGAGACAATAATATTGCGTATATTTCTGATTATATAATGTTGAAACCACATTAGAGTGTATTGAATTTGCCTAACGTACAACCCCAACTCCAGTAAAAGGTTAGGATGCTGTGTAAAATATTCATAAACACAGAATGCAATGATTTGCAAATCTCATAAACCCATATTTTATTCACAAAAAAAAAAAAAAGAAAACATATCAAATGTTTAAACTGAGAAAATGAACAATTTTAAGGAAAAAAATAAGGTAATTTTCAAATTGTTGGCAGCAACACAATTCAAAAAAGTTGGGACTGAGCCATGTTTACCACTGTGTAGTCTTCTCTTTTCTTAATAACACTCTGTAAGCATCAGGGAGCTGAAGAAACCAGTAGCTGGAGTTTTGAGAGAGGAATGCTGTCCTATTCTTGCCTTATATAGGATACTAACTTCTCAACAGTCCTGGGTCTTCTACGTTGTGTTTTAATTTCAAGATGTGCCAAATATTGTCAACTGGTGAAAGATGTGGACTTTAGGCAGGCCAGTTAATCACCCAGACTCTTCTACTATCTACTATCCATGCTATTCTCATAGGTGCAGTATGCGGAGCATTGTCCTGTGAAATATGCCTTCCCTGAAAAAGACATAATCTGGATGGGAGCATATGCTGCTCAAAAACCTGGATATACTGAGCAATATTGCGTTTCAACTTCGTCCCTTGCACACAGATTTCCCCAGATTCTCAGAATCATTTGATATTATTTACTGTACATTTAAAGTATACATTTAAAGTCTTTGCAGGTTTAGGTTGAGGAACATTATTCCTCAACTTGTTTGAAAATGTTTAGACACTGTAGGGAAGAGTTACTAAAACTGGAGTGCTCAGAATCTGGTGCAGCTGTGCATGGTAGCCAATCAACTTCTAACTTCAGCTTGTTCAATTAAGTTTTGACAATTAAACCTGGACGGTGATTGGTTTCTATGCAGAGCTGCACCAGATTTTGCACCATGCAGTTTTAGTATATGACCCCCAGGTTGTCAGAGATTGGAGAATCTCTGCCCATCTTTACTTCTGAGACCCTCTGACTCTCTAAAATGCTCTTTTTGCCCCCAATCACATTGCTATCCTGTTGCCAATTAACCTAATTAGTTGTTCTTCCATCTCTTCCTTTTTAAGCCTAGTACACACTATCAGAAAATCATATGAAAAATATCGCTTTCGAAGCGATATCATGATATTCTGACCGTTAGTACACAGCTTTTGTCCGAAATTATTTGAAGGGACAAGCACAAAAAATGTTTTACATACCAGATCATACGATTTTCGTTTAATTACCACAGTATTCTTCTGAAAATAGAATCCAAATACATTACATTACTTCTGAATCTTGTAACTTTAATAACCTCTTCACTTAGCATGCAAAAATAAACCAAAATGGACGATCATTCATCCAATATTCTCATCATGTGTACGTGGCTTTAATTTGCCAGCTTTTTGTTGCCCTATCCCAATTTCAGTGAGACGTGTTACTGCCATCAACATTTAATATGTTTTCGATTTTCTATTCTGAATAAAATATGGGTTTATGAGATTTGCAAATCATGTAGATTTTACAGTGTCCCAAATCTTTTTGGAATTGGGGTTGTATCAATAAACCCTCACTTGGAAATTCAACACAGGTTGGGAAAATACATAAGCTTAATTTAGTAGCACACTGTCTAAATATCCAATTTATTTTCTATTATTAGTTATACTATAGAAGGTTCCACTGGGAATGATCATAAAACTTGGTATACTGTTATTGCTATCTGTGTCCCTGTTGGAAGATTCACTCTCTTTATTTGTTATGGTCACCAATGCCACTGAGAGTGAACATCAAAGAAAATCTGAAATTTTAGTTATTACTGGGTCAAGAATAGAGGGGAAGTTTTCCAATGGGGACACTTATTCTGGTAAAATTGGTATAAAAAAGTATTTTCATTAATTTGGAGAGATCTCCTCTTCATTTAATGTCTCAGGACAGAAAGTAAATGACATCTCCTTAACAAACAAAACAAAATAAAATAAAAAAAAGAGTTGGCTTTGATATACTTTAATCCTTGTGTTCCTTCCATTCTCTAAACATGGCTTGACCAATAGAAAGGGATAGAAGAAAGTCTCCACTGTGGTCCCCCTGTCAATTCTGGCCTGTTTTGATTCTCTTGTTTCTTTAGTGTCCTCTCTGCCTTTCTCCACTTTGTGGGTACTTCTTTTCCCACTGGCATTTCAGCTAGCACTGTATTATCAAGGGCACGTAAGGATTAGTAAAGGGCATGCGATAGACAGAACCATGTAATTACATTTTTGCTTGTTCAGTCTAGTGTTCTTATTTGTAAAATACCTATTAAACCAATTTGTTTTTGTTTAAGGCTGTGGTTGAAAAACACAGGCACATTCATACCAATCACTTTATCAAAGACAAGGGAATATTATTAGATAAAATCCATTTCCTTGAACATGACCTAATTCGGTCATAAAACATATGAAGCATTATTTCCCCCACTGCTTTTTATTTTAATTTGCACACTAGAGAGTCCTGTGGGGATTCACAACTTTTCTGCTCTCTTAGACTACAAAGAAAACATATTAGAGGGAAAGGCTTATTTTTAATCTTTGCCATTAAAGTTTTTGTGACATAAAATTAGCAGCCACATTAGCTTATTTTCCTAATTCAAATCTTCAGGATATAATTCTGAAAAAAAAAGAGGTCAGTACAATGAACTGGAAATATCTTCAATAGGAAGCGGATTTCTAGTTACTCTGAAGATAATCTATTAATACTGTGAAAATCATAATAGTGACACATTCAAGAGCATATTCAGAAAGAAAAAAAAAATCTACTTGTCAACAAGGGTGATCGCACACAAGCTTGTGCACTCTCTGTATCTTGTTCTGACATTTCATGGAAGAAAGGTGCAACACATAAAAAGGAGTAAAAATGAACACTGCAAAAGTATAAAGAGAAACGGAAAGGAAAAGAAACCTAAAAGAAAACTATTAGAAATATTGGAACTATTATTTTGTACTTGTTTTTGAATATAGAAACTCCAAGGCTGTCATTGGTATCTATATTTTTCTTCTTGCAACTGGTATGGTTGTGTTGTCATGAACACAGCCAGTGAGACATTAGCATGCATGATATCCATATATTGATTTCAGTACGGAATACATATACTCATTCCTGACATGCCCTGTAGTGGTGGTCCAATCCACCCAACACTAATATTTTGTTTACACATACATGTTAGTGGGCTCAACAGCCCACTGATTTCCGTCACTTGGGGGCACCGGCAGCCTGACCTCCCCATTAATGCTAACTTTGTCCCCCTGGCCTCCAGGCAAACATCTAAATGCGCAGATGAAATAAATACTTTATATGGAAGCTTTTTTACCTGTCAAATGATTTTTTTATTTCTTTCCATCGAGTTCTGAAATGTACACAGTTATGACAAAAACAAAAGCCCTGTCTAGCAGGGCATAAAGCCTGATTTTTTTTCTACTGCAGTTAAAGTGTTACTTAACCACAACAGTAAAATCAGTCTGTATATGCAGTAAAGCATGCTTGTTATATTCACTGTGGACCCTAAGGGATTATTCAGCCTCATTATATAAAAAGGCTTTGAAAGGGTTTGATCCTGTTTTCTCTGATCCTCCCCTTCTTCTACTGTCCCCAATCCAGCTGCTGATAGTACAGAGCCCTGGGAAGCACTCTGCACATGCTCAGTTGGGTGGGTATTGCTAAAAGTTTTTTTTTTGTGCATGTGATCAGCACAGAGCAAATCAGCACTGTCCAGACAGAGGGTCAGGGGTCATACAGCCTCATAGGGCACTGTAAAACAAGGGAAGAAAGGGCGCACCGGCCTAGTGCATTACCCGAAAATAAATTTTATTAAATACAAAAGAGATATGTACTCACAAACAACTGTGTGTCAAAGGCATATCAATCTCCAAATTGACCAAGTCACCAGGTCAACTCCCAAACGCGAGAAGACCCTCAAATGGCTGATGCGTTTCAAGGGGCGATCCCCTCTTCCTCAGAGCCCTCTCTCTGGATCAAAGACATCAGCCATTTGAGGGTCTTCTCGCATTTGGAAGTTGACCTGGTGACTTGGTTGCTTTGGAGATTGATATGCCTTTGCACACAGTTATTTGTGAGTACATATCTCTTTTGTGTTTAATAAAATGTATTCTCAGGTAATGCACTAAGCTGGTGCGCCCTTTCTTCACTTGTTTTGCAGTGAACTATTTGGGTTTTTCCCTGACCCTCAGAGGGCAACAAGGCCTGTGCTGGCGTTGGACACACAAGGACCTAAAGTTCCCATATCATCCTACCACTCTTGAGCCAGGGAACATTCTTCTAGCCTCATAAGACAGTCAGAGGGGAATGAAAACTCCTCCTACAAGCTTTAACTAGTGTGTGGCTGTACACTGATAGAAGTCACAAGACTGCCTTATACTGCTGATGTGAAAAGGTATTTAGCAGTTTATATTTACTAAAACAATTGCATTTTCATGTTCTGTGTACTATAGAAGACCAGCTAAAGTGGATGTAGGGTCCTGGGTTTAATAACACTTTAAGTAACGCAAAAAAACCATGTTGAGTGTTGCAGCACACTGCATTGTGGTTAAATAGACCAGAAACATTAATGTCATACATATGCTATTTTATCATTTACATCCTTAAAGTGTTACTAAACCTACAACAGTAAAATCAGTCTGTATATGAAGTAAAGCATGCTTGTTATACTCACTGTGGAACTTAAGGGGTTAATCCTCTGCTTTGTGTAAAAAGGATATTTGATCCTGTCTTCTCTGATCCTCCCCTTCTTCTAATGTCCCCAATCCATCTGCTGATAGAACACAGCCTTGGGGGAAAGCTGCACATGCTCAGTTTAGTGTGTGTTGCTAGGTTTTTTTTTTTCCTTGATAGAGTGCATGTGATTAGTGCAGGGCCAATCAGCACTGTCCAGACAGAGGGTCAGGGGTCCTGCAGCTTTATAGGACAATCAGGGGAGAATGACAACTCCTCCTACAAGCTTTAACCACTGCTCTCTTGGACACTGATAGAAGTCAGAAGGCTGCTCTAACTGCTGATGAGAAAAGGTATTTAGAAGTTTATATTTACTAAAATAAATGTATCTCCATTTTCTGTGTTTTGTGGGAGACCAGATATAGTGAGTGTAGAGTCCTGGGTTTAGGAACACTTTAGCCTGGCAAAAGTTGACTAATTTGTTTTGATCATCCAGGGAAAAAAACTAATGGATTCCTTCATCCACACAAATGAGGTGGATTGTGGATTCCTCTCCTTTGGGTCACTGTATTCGGACAGTGGGTCTCCTCCCCTGTCAAAATGCTCTAATCAGAAATTGCAGCCGCCGATCAAGAAACATTTTCCAACATTCTTATTCAACAGAAATTGATCTAACATCTGTCGAACAGGGATGGCCACCAATAGATCAAAATTTGGCAGGTCCCTGCTGAACTGTACAAATTATAGATTAATCTAGGGCCAGCTTTATTCTTGAGCCCTTAAATCTGTTAAAACAGTTATTTTTCTACAATGTGCACAAATGTGAATAAGAGACAAAAAAACATGAACAGGTGTGAACAGAGATATTATTGGCAATGCATGATAAATTGTATATAACGTTTGATGCTGCCAACTAGGCTAGACAGCTGTACTGACGTCATTACCTTGCATGATGTAAAGTGCCAACAGCCAAGTGAAAACTCCAGGGCTGGTAACTCTCATCCACCATCTGCTGAACACTGGGAATAATACCACTCTTACAAGACCTTTCCGAGTTATAGCTGTCCATGGGCTTTCAGGTTTAGCTTTGGCAAATGTTGATCCTGAAATAGGTAGAAAATTAAATGTTATGATCAAATTCACACTAAACCTTTCATCCTTCTCCACACAACAGACTAGAAGGTATTGTGACATAATTACTTGCTTATATCCTTAGTAAGTATAAGAAATGAGAAATAGATAAAAGCATAATAAATTAGAAGCATGGAACTACAATGTAGCATCAAAACCTATGTTCCTATGTGCCCCGCTGATTTAACTTTTTGACAGCCACAGATATATTTCCACGCATTCAGCCCTAGGCAGCCAAGCTGGTTTTGTTTTCTTACTTACCAATCAAATACACAACAAAAACTGCAACAAAAAAATTAAAATCCCTTAAACCTCTATATTTTCAAACAGCAGGGATCCTATACAGTAGTCAACATCCACAGTGTTCTACTTCCTAAGATAATACTACAAATGCTTGTCAAGGTATATTTGTATAAAACCTGTTATTATCACACAAATAAAATATAAACTATGAAATTCCACTGAACCAAAATAAATATGAAGGTAGAATTCATAATTTACATATGAATATAGACTGTGCTGCAAAAACAGCAAAGCAAAGGTATTTTGTAAGCTGAAGAAGTGCATGATAACATTTACAACTCAAACTACAGTAAAATTCCTTCCTTTATTTTGTCTAAAATGCCTAATGGCTACAAGAATAATTAGTAGATTTTAGGGGCTGTGCACATTTAAAGTTCCAATTATTTGCACATGCATGTCATAGGCAAATGACTGATTTTTATATTATTACTTATTTTATACACTTATTTTTTTGCTGATTAGGAGGAGGCAGTAATATCTGTATATAGGACAATTTACTTAGGCTTTACGTTAGCGTTACTGCTGTCTGAAGGGCAATCTAACCATCAGATAAGGTTCAGAGCCTGAGCACTTAGAACAGGTGAGATTTCCTTGTACAGCTATGAATGGCAGTAGAACATACCTTTTAAACCAGGGGTCATGGGAAGGGGCTGGGTGGGAGGATAATTTGAATAGAGGACAAACAATCCCACAACTAAAATATATATAAAGCCATAAATTTGTTTTTAAATTTTGGAAGTAGGCAAGGGTTCACAATTTTTTAGCCATTGTCTGCTACTGGGGAGATTTCCCTTCATTCCCTATCCAACAAGCACAACAGGAAGTGAACAGTGTCCCCAGTAAAGGACTGCCCCTCTGTTCCTGTTCTTGTGGCAACTCATAATTTTAGATTCTCCCTATCTGCCAGAGACACAGACAGCAATAAAAACCTGAAAAGAGTTCTAACTCCCCACGCCCCCACCATCACTCCAAAATAATAAAAAAAATATATATTTTATTTAAATACACTTTAATATTTTATTTATATAAATTTATACTAAAAAAAACTTTTAATAGCAGTTTTTTAGTATAAATTTTTATAAATAAAATATTAGTGTATTTAAATAAAATATGTTTGTTTGTTTTTTTATTTTGAAGTGATGGCCCAGGAATTGTTTTCTATAAGAAAAACAGTTCCATTGAGTCTACTTTAGCTATAATCCATCTAATTTAAAACATCATTTTACCAAGTGCTAACTTTACTCTTATGGTTCACAGTAATGATCATAGCAGCGGGATAAAGCAGCCCTTTTCATCTCTCTGTAAATCCCTCTTTTGCTGGCTATTACAGATGATGGAGCAATGGAGTCAAGGTTTCAAACTGAGCAACCCAATCCAAATTAATATTTCTCAGTTTGAATTTTGGAGATCCCAGGCTGTGTAGTTGTCATGGAACTGCACATTACAGGGGAAAGCTGATTACAGACTCAATCATATATGCGTTCCATTAAAGAACCACCATCACGCCTGCTTGCTGCTGTTAAAACAACTCAATGTCTAATTTATGTAGACATTAAAAAGACCCTATTTCCACTTGCTGCTGCTGTTTTAGGTATTACTGTTCTGCATTGCCCTCCCTGCCTACTTGCCACTACTGACGTTCTAGGTTTTCCATTCATAAAAAAATAATAAATATTATATAGATCTGTTTTAGCTGATGCTTATGTTTCAGCTGCATAAAAAAAAAAATTCAAAACATTTTTATTATCATTATCTCTTTACATGTCACCAAAACAGAACCCTTAACAGGCAAAAAAAAAAAAACATTCAGCGAAATACACTGTCCCCTTATAATATTTTGTTCTTAATACATTCATGCTGTAAAGCAGTGGTATCAAACTCAGTTTCATCTTGGGCCACATCAGCATTTTGGTTGCCATCAAAGGGCCGTTTGTATCTGTGAGACTAGATGTCCAGAGCACCCCACTCCCCCCTTGCATCAGATGTCAAGAGCCCCCCCCCCCCCCCATGGGAACTCAAGAGTCCTCCGCCCTTCCTTACATCACAGTGCACCCCCTTACCTTGTGCTGCTGCTGAGAAAAACTGGGAGCAGAGCTGGGAAACAGAAAGTGCACAGTCTGGAGGAGGACCAGAGGAGGGCTGGAGGCAGCTGCCAGATTCTGCTGCATGCTGAGACCAGGAGAGGTGGAGACAAGAGGGTGCTGCGGGTGCACAGAGAGGCACAGGATCTGTAGCAGGAGTTCTGGCTTCCTCTCTGCTGCCAAGTGCTGAGACGAGGTGGGGGTGGAGATGAGGGGGGTGCTGCAGCTGCAGGAGCAGGAAAGGTGCGAGGGCTGCATGAAATGGCCTGGTGGGCAGGAACTGGCCAACGGGCCTTACGTTTGACACATGTGCTGTACAGTATAAATGAAAGCAATCAACACAATCCTATGCCAAGTTTCACGGAGAACCTTGATGCATTTTGCAAAAGTGGAACTTAGTCTTATTTATGACTAAGAACAGCTTATGTGAAATGTGTCAAGGTTCTAAATATCTCCAAATTTTGTTGTACCGTCTTATTGACCATTCTTGGACTGTGTGCTGGCAGCCGGGCAAAGCTGGGGCTTCATGGAGCACTGTTGGGTTAACTGAGGCTGGTTACCCAAACAGCAAGAGTGTATACACCTGAAAGAACATGGAGTATATACAGTGTATATACTAAACTGGGGTTGCCCCTACCCCCCAATATTTCAACCCCTTAGGGCCCAGTATTGAAGTAAAAATCAATGGGCCAGCCAGGTATTGAAGTGAAACCAGGTGGATTTTAGGCAATGTGCATTTTGCCAATTTATCTACTGAAACTGTGAAAGGAAGCTGAATCACCAATAAAATCTTCCCACACACATGCAAAATGCTTGTTTTTCTCCACTATAAAATAAGCAATTTAAAAGCCCATAGTGGGTAAATGAGTAATTTTCAGCAAAAAAAAAAATCCCACTGGAGCGCTGACCCATGCTAAAATCAAGTAGATCACTGGCAGAAAGTTTTCCTCAAAGTTTCTCCATCCCTATCGGCCAGTGTCCTCTCACCACATTTTTTCACTGGTGGAACTGGAAGTGAACGTGAAGGCAGGAATTTTTCTGCTTATACTACAAGCATCAACCTGTAGAAAAATGCTCTGGCCATATAATTTTTTTTTTGTTTGTTTCATTTAAATTTTCGTTATGACATATAGCTCCATATAGTTTACAGAGTTGAAAAAAGACTGCTGTGCATCAGGTTCAGCATCTGTGGAGGTGGAGGTTGGCAAAATGGGCGGCACAGTGGCTTAGTGGTTAGCACGTCTGCCGTGCAGTAAATGGGTCATGGGTTTGATTCCTGACAATGGCGCCTTCTGCATGGAGTTTGCATGTTCTCCCTGTGCTTGCGTGGGTTTCCTCTGGGTACTCTGGTTTCCTCCCACACTCCAAAGACATGCTGGTAGATTAATTGGCTCCTGTCTAAATTGTCCTAGTTTCATCCCTGGCCATGCAGGATCTCCTGCATGGTAGAGGTTGGGGAAAGACCTGGCAACCTACCCTGTAAAAATAATTGCTAAGAGAATTCATGGAAGAAGTTGCTTGTGAGTGACGGTCCATGCAATTGCCAAGGGTCAGATACGACTGAATGGATAGATAGAGAGAGAAGTTGGCAAAACATTAAATGTAAGGGTGTTAAAACTGGTTTATTTCACTTTGCAAACATTAGCTTGCTCCGTATGTAAATGATGTTGCTATACTGTTTCGTACCATAGTACTCTTTTCTCCCTGGGATCCCAAGAACTAGAAGAAGGCAGTTTGAAGTATTTTCTACCTCTGTAAATACCTGTGAAAATGTTCATGGAAATGCTCTGCTAATGGGGTCCTAGTTACCAATAAACAGCCTATGAGACATTGGATACTGACCAAACCATCTAAAACAGAATCCAAAAATCTCACAAATTCCTCCATCCACACTATACAGTGCAGATGGATGGCTGTCTAGCTATAGCATTGGATTCAGACAAACAGCACCGGCAAGTGTCAGAATACCTAAAGAAAGGTTGCATCTCACTGGATGCAGCTGCTGTCTGGCCATCAATTGTCTGCTTGGCTCCTTTGATTGTTCAATAAAGGATGTTGAATGGGAGGAAGTGACAAGGCCACTCACTAAGTTTTGGCCATTGGCCATTTCAATGGCTGAAATTGAAACAGTGTATGGCCAGCCTTATTCCTGCGTGTCAACACAAAGCAAAGATTCTTAGTAACACAAAGCAAAGCTTATTACTTAAAACTGCCCAATAGTACACAAATGTTTCAACATTTCAAGGTTAAGAAGCTGTACTATAATGTTACTTACCTCTGACCAGATCCACATCAATCAAGTCAGATTTCATATGAGCCATCTTCTTTGGTTTGTTCTTAAAACCCTAAGAGATATAAAGCAAAACTTTGGGAATTTAAAACATTTTGATTTCATGTAAAATCCAGTTGACAAGGTCCTTCTTCTGAGAAAACCTGAGCTCTTTTGGTTAAATGCCTTGGGTACCTGTTCACCAAGAAGACTTAAGGAATATGTAAACCCAACATTTCATATTCCTGGTATGTGTCTGTTGTATCATGTACTTTTGTTAAAAAATATCCTGTTGTCTTTGTATTGTTTCCTTTGTGTGAAATCCCTATTGTTCCTGTCAGTCCCTTTGCTTTCCTATCAAAAACTGACCATGCTAGGCAGGAAAGCACAGCATGGTCAGTTCTCTATCTATGCTTGGAACTCAGTGTGCTTTCCTCCAATGATCAGACTTCTGCTGACATGCTCCCCCTACACGCACTGGGAAGACTGGTGTACTGCTGTTTCTCCACCCTCACCTCTCTATGCAGCTGAGAACAGAGGGTATGTGATCACTTATAAAAAAATGGAAAAAAGTCAAATATGTTTTTTTATATCTATGCATGAGTTGATTGTAGCCGTATTAGTGCATTTGTGACAGAAACAATAGAGTACTGTCCGTGATACTTTTTTTATTTGCACTAACATACAATTTTGAGGACAAGCTTTCGGGGAATGTCCCCTTCTTCATGTCTAAGCAGTACTGAAACAAAGATTTAGCAGAATGTTGTAAGAGATGTAGGGGATGGGAAAAACAAAAACAAAAAACATTCAACATTCTGCTAAATCTTTGTTTCAGTACTGCTTAGACCTGAAGAAGGGGACATTCCCCGAAAGCTTGTCCTCAAAATTGTATGTTAGTGCAAATAAAAAAAGTATCACGGACAGTACTCAATTGTTTATATCTATGCACAAATGTTTTACCTTTCATTTCTATTTTAAACTGTATGGGTTGTTTTACAAGGAAAAGGGTTTACATATACTTAAAGTGTCACTAAACCCCGGACCCTGCATTCACTATATCTGGTCTTCCACAGTACACAGAACATGGAAACGCAATTATTTTAGTAAATGTAAACTGCTAAATACCTTTTCTCATCAGCAGTTAGAGCAGTCTTGTGACTTCAGCTGAGCACTGGTTAAAGCTTGTAGGAGGAGTTTTTTTTTCTGCTCTAGGAGGATGTGAAACCCCCTGACCCTTTGTGTGGACAGTGCTGATTGGCCCTGTGCTCATCACATGCACTCTTTAAAGAAAAAAAACAAACCTCTCTAGTAATACACACCAAACCGAGCATTTGTATGTGACCACAGATTCAGTCTGTAGGTGGTCATTTCAACAAGAGGAGGGGCAGATAAGTCAGGATCAAACATCCTTTTTACACAATGCAGAGGATTAACCCCTTAGGTTCCACAGTGAATATACCAAGCATGCTTTACTGCATATACAGACTGATTTTACTGTTGTGGGTATAGTAACACTTTAAATCATGATTACGACTTATTTTTATTTACTGTATGATTTACTGTATTTACTGATGGACTGGTATTGTTATTTGTGATGATATTTATACTCTTTTTCAGATATCTCAGTTAATGTGTACTGAATATTGTTGCTACACCAGTGTGTCTGAGATCAGTATACTTTCCCTTTAAGTTAGAATAATTGATTTTCACATATGTTCCTGTTGACATTTCATGTCTGTCCTTATATATGCATTGTGTGAATGAGATGTAATTAGTTTGACAAACAGTGAGCCTGCTAGAAACTGTCACTGTTACCTATTTCTTTTTGAATGAAATGAATTAATGAAGTATGCTGCAACCATTTGTGTGGATTAGTATACAGTACATGCTGTATATTACACACTGTAACACAATGTAGTGCATGCACACCACTGCGCTCCAGATGATTGAAAACAAGAAAAGGAGATGGCAATGGCAAATTGTGAAGAGGTGTTTTGTTGTCAGAAAGATGTTTCTGGACATATCTAGTTTGGATCAGCAGCTGGTGTGACTCAGAAATGTTGGAAAGTCTGCCTATAATAAACAGCTGTTTCCATTCATTTTTAAGGGCTATGTCACTTAAGGGATTTTGTAGCAGTTCAATAGTAGTAGGTACAGCATCCCTTTCATTGTTAGAAAAAAAAAAACAACCTTCAAGGCAGAAATCTGTAGTCTCCTGTATGTACAGCTTTTACAGCAGGAGTCAATTAATCTGCATGAGTACAGCTGCAGCTTTATGTAATGTGCTGAAATGCATTACTATTTCCTTCCAGCAGGTGTCTCTAATACCTAAAGAGATCTGCATGTGATCACAAAGCATATGCTTCCCAGAGATGGCATTTGTATTTATCATAAGATACTGAGTCCAGTGCAGGATAAAGCTGGGGACGACTCACAAACTGCGGTTACATATCTAGTGTGGTTTCTTGTTTAACAACCTCAGGATGTTTGAAAAGAAAAATTAAAATAACTGAAGGGGGAAGAAAACATAAAGGCTGTTAAAAGTTGCAAAACTGTCTACAGATCATGCAACACATAACCATTTCTTTTTATGGTATAGTTGACTGAACAGTTGAATACCAGTTCTGTATATAAGACTGACAAGTTCCTGTATCCAATAGCTCATTTTTGATTTAGCAAACATGAACATATACTGAGCACAAAGAGCAGGGTAAAAATACCCAAACTGTAATGGCATGCAATTAACAACTGAAACAGAGAATTATTATATATGTAGGTATTTATATGACTCTGACAATTTATACTGTACATTCACATTGCTGCCATCAAAGAGTTTATAATCTAGGGTCCTTATCTCTCACATACATACTAAGGTCAATTTAGACAGGAGCCAATCTGCCTACCAATATATCTTTGGAGTGTGGGAGGAAATGCAATTAGTTGTAGTTTGGATTTGAACTGATGACCCTAGTACTAAATACTAGGTCGCTGTGCTGTCTGTGAATTGCAGCCCATACTTAAAAGGACAATGGGCCACAGGAAATATTTCCAGATTTTCTGCTTCTTTCCAACAGACAGCCCTCTATTTCATAAAAAATTGTTAGAAGTGAGTGTTTCATCCCAACATGCATTGCAAGGCAAAAACAGGAGATGTGATATGTATCTGCACATTTTGCTTATAAACAAATACTAAACTCACAGTTGTACAATCACATAGCAGATAATTTCCTATGACCATGTTGCCGACACCAGAAGGCAAAATATATCAAAGATTCTTTGAGAAAGTACGTTTTCTAACAGTCTTTACTTTATACCACTTTTGGTGGGTGATGCACATAAAGAGAGGTCAAGATGAGGGTATAGGTCTATTTTAAAGTAATACTAAACTGGTTTAAATAAAAAAAATATGTATATATATTTAAAAATATATAAGCATCAGGCCCCGACCGTTACAACCTTGGCAGACTGACGACACCAGAAATCTTAAACGACATAGTCGTGCCCTGGAGCGATTGTGGCGTAAAACCAAATCCCAGCAAGCATTCACCCTGTATAAATATGCTTTCTTAACATACAATTCCTCCTACTTTGTCCGTCAGGAGGGCCCATTGAAGCTCCGGGCAAGCCAAGCAGATGTGCGGGCGCCTGGACAGAGACGCGCGCGGCTGCACTCGCGCATGAACACTCGCACATGCGGGTGCGCACCTGTCACTAATGCTGGCGCCAAGAGGGCTATTTAAACTGGCTGCTGTGGTTATCTCATTGCCATATGGCCTTATCCCCTGCTCGTGTTCCTGACTTTTGTGATTGTTCCCTGTTGCCAAAACCAGCCTGTTTCCTGACTTCTGATTGATCGCCTCCTGCCCTGACTTCTGGCCTGTCCTTGGATTATTCTTCTGCCTGCTCCTGCTTGATCGACCTCCTGTTACTGAACCTGGCCTGTGACCCAACTATTCTCCTGCCTGCCGTTTAAGCCTGATCTGTCTCGTCTAATACTGAACCCGGCTCGTCTGACTCTGTTTATTACTACAAGGTCCTCTCGCATCCATCCATCCTGCACCCTGCTCTGGTCTGCTACTCATCGGTCCAACAGCTATCACCGGACAGATCTCAGACCCTCTTACCCTGCCGAGCTCCTGCAACCGCTGTCCAACTCTCAGCGGTCCTTGAGCCGGAGTTGTACGAGAGGTCTGCCACTTCACGTCAGGCTCACTACCCAGGTACGTGACAGTCACTCTTATTAATACCTTGTCATCCAGTCCTCGTCGTCTCTTCTCTACTTTCAACTCTCTACTTTCTCCACCTCCACCGAGTACCTCACTCACTGCTCACGAGACTGCAAATCATTTCAAAAACAAGATTGATGCAATTTGTAGGGGCATCGCCACTGCACAGACATCCATCCCACTTAGCATACCTTATACTAAACCTCCGTCAACACTTTCCTCTTTTGACCTTGCTACTACCGAAGAGGTCACTAAGGTTTTCTCAGAAATCTGTCGCACTACCTGCCCCCTGGATCCTGTCTCTTCACAACTACTACGGTCACTCTCTTTTTCCATCCTATGCTCCCTCACTCACATCTTTAATCTTTCCCTCTCTACTGGTGCCTTCCCCTCCCCTCTAAAGCATGCGCACATCACTCCCACACTTAAAAAGCCCTCCCTGGACCCCATCAACATGAACAACTTAAGACCCATCTCCCTGCTGCCATTTACCTCTAAACTCCTAGAACGCTTAGTCTACAATTGCCTGAGCTCCTACCTCACTGACAACAACCTTCTTGACCCTTTACAGTCTGGCTTTCACTCACTACACTCCACTGAAACTGCCCTACTAAAAGTCACTAATGATCTACTAACAGCTAAAACCAATGGCCACTACTCCGTACTCTTACTACTTGACCTCTCTGCAGCTTTTTATATGGTTGACCATCCCCTCCTCCTCAAAAAAACTCCACTCTCATGGCCTCCAAGACTCTGCTCTCTCCTGGTTCTCCTCCTACCTATTGCAGCACTCCTTCAGCGTTACCTATAAATCTGCCTCCTCCTCTTCACTCCCTCTTTCTGTAGGGGT